ATGTAAAAAAAAAAAAAAAGCCTCTTAAAGTAGAAGACATACAGCATATTTACCAAGATCCTATTTTTAGGAAGAAAATGGGGGGGGGAGTGCAATTTGAGGAACGGATGAGGCGTGACTTGAACCTTTTTTTAAATAGCCTCATAAACTATTCGGCTATTTTGCAATGAAAGCATATTACTTTTTTTTTAGCTTGAAAAAGATACTAAAGAAAATAAAAGAGATAAATGAATAACAATGACTAAGAAAAACAGTTTTAAACCTTTAGACTGGACAAAGCAGAGGAAGCTGCCAGCAGGGAGAACAGTGCAGAAATTACTGAGGAGATCCAGAAAAGGGGTGCGAAGGCCTGTGTTCAGGGGTGTCAGAGAAAGGGAGATGAGCAGATGGGCTGAAGAGATACTTGGGGGGAGGATTCCACAGAACCTGGAGCCAGAGGCGCCTAGCGGCCGGGAACGAGCTTGGCTTCTCGAGTGTCTCGCCTGAGCTGCTGGGTGGATGCTTGTTACCATCTACGTGCAGAGAAAACGGAAACGAACGAGTCAGTTTTGGAAATGGGAAAGATGATAATTCAGTTTGGGGTGCATTAAATTTGAGGTGCACATAGGCCATAAAAACAGGAATGTCTAGAAGGCAATATAGGCTTGAGGCTCCAAGAATGTATGACATGAGCATGTATAAATGGTCATTTAAGCCGCAGGCAGTGATAAAATTGCTCAGAAAGAGCTATACAGGCAGTCGGAAGGGAAGGGGCGGAGGGTGAATCCACATTCACCAAAGAGAAAGGGGAAAGAAACCTGCTGGGGAGACTTGGGAGCAGCTGGAGGGGAAGAGGCGCCCACTGAGTGGGTGTCACAGAACCACAGGCGCAGCAGGAGGAACAGCTTTCTAGAGAGGACGCCAAGTTAGATAAGAAGTGAAATGTGACCGTAGCCCGTTGGGTCGCTGAGGCCCGGTCCGGAACAGTTTCAGGAGAGTGGTGGGGACAGAAGTCAGGTTATAGAGGGGTGAGGAGCGGGTGGGGTTAGCGCAGGGTGAGAAAGGCTTGACCGCGAAAGGAGAGAGAAAAGAGGATTCCAGATAAGGAGAATATCAGATCGTGGGTTTATTTTTTGGTAGTTGTTAGAAGAGATAAGATCCTGTCTATGTGCTGAGGGAAGGAAGCCAGGAAAAGATAAGTTGAAGACCTAGAGGAGAGAGTGAATAATTAATGAAGCCGGGCTCGGGAAGGGGGCTGAAGTCCAGAGTTCAGGTCGAGCGAACTCTGGGACAGGACAGGGCAGAGTCATTTTCCCCACGGGGCACAGAAAGGAGAGCAGTGGCTCCGGCATTGACTAGGGGGCTCAGAGATCGGGAGACAGGGTTTGAGGAAGCCCCTCTGGGGTTGAAAAGCAGGTAGATGGGGGTAAGGGGATATCAAACTATAAGGTGAGGATGTTATGAGCAGAACATCAAGTGTTCTTGAGTCTTGGGCCTCACGGTTTCCAAAGTGGAATAGTTTGGAGATGGTGACAGGTTCAGAGTGCGAGCGAGCTTGGGGACGAAGCACAGGGGAGTGAGAGGCACTGGAGGCGATAACACCACGGAACTGTGGGGGTGCTGGATGAGTCTTACCCAGGGACACCGAAGCCACCCAGGATGGAGGGGACCCCAAGAATCATCTGTGTAAACCCTTGGTGTTTTGGCGTGAGTCACATAGGTGGCATTTTGCCAGCAGTGCTTCCTCCACTCCTCATCAGCAGATACACTCAGCAAACTGTGCGATATAATGACGTACACGGGTCAGATTCCAGCTCGCTGTCCCCTGTGTGATCCTCAGATCGGGTGTGGGAAGTGTGTAGCACAGAGATCATTACCTTGCAGAAAGTAGCTGTCCTCGCTATTAATATGTATGTGTTCCTTCTGAGATGCATTCAGAGGCGCTTTTCTTTGCCTTCAGTCCAAACTTCTGTGAATGCGGAGGGACATCTCCACCCGAGAAGGTGGACCTGCCCAATGTCAGTCATCCAGGTGGGTGGGCAGATCCCCAGGTGAAACTGGAGCTAAGGTGGGCCATAGAAAGGCAGGAGGGAAACCTGGACACTCGCCCACCTGCGTCTTTTCCTCTCTCTTTCCTCCCCCCTCACCATTCCTCCCCCT